ATTATCATTGGCAAGCTAAAAATTTATGATGTTTATTCACTAGCTTGACGGGGAGTATTTGAAAGTATATTTATATGGAAAGTAAGGTAAACAATATATTAATAATATACTCTTTATAACTTTTGTAATTAATTGGGTTTCCTTGTATGATTGCTAGGGACTTGTATATATATAGGCCACTAATACTCAATAAAATATACAACAATTCATGCTTCCAATTTAGAAATTTATTGTTTAATTTATCCTAAATTCTCTCTCCCGTTAAATAGAAATTTTTTTTCTTTCTAAAACATGATGTTTTTATGTACATAGAGAGATTATTATAACATGTATTAATGTAACAATAAGTACTAAACTATAATTTTGCCAAATAAATTGTTATATGTATCTATATGTATAGAGTGTATTATATATATATATATATAAAACATAAGCAAGTGAATATTTGGTTTGTCAAATTAAAGTTCAAAAGCATATCAAAAAGCAAATATATGGCCTTATTCAAATTTACTACAACAAAGATTTCATGAGTAGGTCTAAAAAGTTTCTAATATATGAAAAGATAAAATCAACAAGATAAAACACAATTAATCATTATTTAAGATAAACAAAAACATTCTCTCATATTTATCAAGTATTAATTAGTTAATAATATTTTTACCAGGTAGTTTTTGTTAAAATCTACACTAATAATTCACAATTGAAATAATAGCTAATATATATATACACACACACACATACATACTAAATTCTATTATATGATGGATTTCTATTTTTTATTTGTCAAGTTAAATATCACAAATTTACATAATATGAATTTAAACTAGAACAAAATTATATTCAAATTCTATCTTATTCTTATTGTACCAATTTTAGTCAAATTTATGTAACATGAAAAAAATTATATTCAAATTTTTTTTTCTTTTTTTTTTTCCTTCTAATTGGGGTAAATCAAATGAGTTGAATCAATAGAGCAATGTGCAAGGGGTGGGCCTAAATGTCCCAATTGAATGTAACTTGAAACTTATCCTTTTTATGCTTTGTTTGAAAACTTGTAGGGTAAAATCCGAGCCAAATCATTAAATTCATTTTCACAAAGAAAATTTGTACCCTCAATTATAAATCCCTAAAAAGTTAATACTTTTCTTCGGAGTAGAGAAACCCAATAAATCTTCCCTTTGAAAATTTTATAAAATATATATTTTTTTAAAAATAATAATAAATAAATATGATGTTCCAATGATTTAGCACCCCCATATTTAGTTTCACTATTTTCAAATTGAATTACAACACTATATTCCATTTTTTACTATAACCCAGCATGTTTATCCCTCAAAAGTGAATCTACATATATACGTACATATAATGTACATACAAGAAAATTATTCATAAATGTTTCTCAAAAGTTTAAAGTTAAATTACTAATTGTGTGAGATTTGATCTAAAATTACTTTAATGTGACTTTTATCATTGATATTAAGGTAAATTATTGTATGATCACATAACTGTTATAAGGATTTACAATAAGCCTTTTACCTTTTGTACTACACATATATACATATATATATATATGTGTGTGTGTGTGTGTGAAGTGGGAATTTTCATATTTGAAGCCTTTCAATTAAGATCATGAGAGAAGATGCAAACAGTAGTGTTTATTATTAATTAACTAAAAGCAAAAGAGTTAATTAATTAATTAATTAAATTAAATTAAATCTATATTAATTAAATACCAATTAGATAGGTAGCTATATATGTACAAGACGATTTCTATGACTTTATAAAGTGTTGCCGGCAAATTTAATTGATTAAAGCACGAAAAGTTCTTTAACTATTCTTTGTTATTCCTGAAAAAAAAAATTTACTAAAAAGAAATTTTCTAATTTTAATATAATTATTATGATTATGGTGGAGATAAGTTGCCTGGTTAAGACACTAATTAATTACGTTTAATTTCATTTAATAGGATTCAAAGATTTTGGATATAGTACATAATTACACATATACACATAGGGACACCCTAATATAAATTTAGTACAAACATATATATATATATATAGCTTGCAACATATATATATATATATAGCATGCATGTGTTTCACGATATGGCTTATGGCTAGCAATTTCCAACATATTTGTTGATAAAAATATACATCTCACAAAATAATAATAATGTTTGTTTGTATTATTCAAAAACAAAAAACATACATAAAACAGATTTAAAAAAAAGCTCGTCCTTTTGTAAATGAATATATCATGTTATCATATATATATATATATATATATATATATACACACACTAAACGATGTTATATATCGTAGAGGTTAATTGATTGTCCATAAATAAAACTTAATGTTTTAGAAAACAATTAATAGAGATGATGTAAGTATCCCTGCTCAAAATTCAGCTTTTCTGGATTAACAGAAAACATGCAGGCACCAAGAAACAAAAAACAAGAAAGAAAAAAGAAAAGATGTTCGAAATCTGAAAAAAAATTAAAGTAGTCAAAAAGGCTTAACGTAAATAGATTAAATGTGCAGTGAATATATACAGATATATATATATATATGTACATATGGTTTGTTTGTTTGGGGAGAAAATTGAAGGGAAAATAGAAAACTTAGGGAGAGAAAAAGAATTAATTAAGGGGATTAAGAGAAAAGGTGAATGCAGAGGGCAGATGGGAGAGGCTGAAAAAGGACCAATAATGGTATGTAGGAGAGCAGACAGAGGGTTGCTTTTTGGGTACTTGGGGAATAAAATGCTGTCTCTCTACGAGGATTGGCGTGAACATGTATATATATATATAGATAGATATATAATACTTGTAATTATATAAAAATATCGATTTAATTAATGATAAATATCAACTTTAAAGTTTAAACAATGTTTAAAAGAGATTCTTCTGTTTATTAATTTTTACTTAAATTTAAAATGTAAATGAGTTAGAAAACGCTATGAATATAATATAAATTTATTCATTTTCTATTTTTCTAAAAAATAAAATTTAGTGGGTATTAATTTCTTGAAAATTTTAATTTTTTTTATTGTACTTTAATATTTATTCACTATTTTTAAGAAGAAATGTTTTGAATTTTAGCCGCTAAAGAATTTGAAAAACAAAATTCAACTCCTTTATTTTTTTTCTCTTTTAAGAAGTAATGTTTTGAATTTCTGCCGTCCATTCAAAGAAGTGATGTGGGAAAAGGAGGGAATTCCTCCTCTTAAGTCTTAAGTAAAATTTTGAATTGTGGGTCCTCATCATTTTGCACTAATTTTTTTTTCCAGAAATACCAAATTGGTAAAGTGTGTGTGATTAATCTTGTTTAATTAAATTGGATAAACAATAAATATTTTATTAAGAACTGCTGGCATGTGTATACATACACACACACATACATATATACATATGTTCTAGTTGTTATAAACATGTAAATGTATAAAAAGAACAGAAATAGATTGGAAATCTTCCTTTGCAGCTTTTCCTCATCTTGATGAGAGAAAATTATTATTATTAAAATATATATATATATGATAATTAATTTGGTAAGTGCATAGAATTAAAAATTTACTATATCTATATGCATATGGGGGTGTATTGTAAGTCCCAAAAGATTTTTAAAAAACAAAAATCTAGCTACCTAGCAAACTTATTATTAGAGAAAAGAATTTGAGATGATCAAAAGAGGTGAGCAGTATAACTGTAAAATGGTTAAGAAAGAAAAGCAAGTAAGTGGAAATTAAAAGCTTCAAAAGCTGCCCACTGTTCCCAATACGTACATATATATATACACACACACAATACACTATACAGTATATATATATATATATATATATTGTAAAGAAAGCAAAGAAAAAAAAAAAAGTAACAATAATTAGTATAAGGAGTTCTATAAAGAAGGTGAGTTGGTCTAAGGTGGTGTTTCTTAAACTCTACTGAGCTTTCTCCTTCTTCTTTTTCGTCTTCTTCTTCAAGAAATTATTAATCGTAATCTCACCATATCTATATATATATATATAGTTCAAGAAATTCCTGTAATTGATTCTGGGCATTTGGTACTTTCTCTACTTTTTTTGTTTGACAAAGCCAGCTTGTTCTCAAGCTTAGTTTTTGTTAGGGTTTAAACAAGAAAGGGGGTGGTGTAAAGAAAAGACAAGAAGAAGAAGAAGAAGAAGAACAAGAAGGAGGAGGAAAGTTCTGAGCAGATTCAAAGGGGGTGGGGGTGGGGGTGGTGGGTTTCGGTCAAGTGATGCGCTCAGGAACCTGTACAGTTCAGCAGACCCTCACAGCAGAGGCTGCTTCAATCTTGAAGCACTCTCTAAACTTGGCTCGGCGGAGAGGCCATGCTCAGGTCACTCCTCTCCATGTCGCAGCCACTCTGCTGAGCTTACGAGCCAGTCTTTTAAGACGGGCTTGTCTCAAATCTCAGCCTCCAAACCATTCTTCTCATCATCCGCTTCAGTGTCGAGCTCTCGAGCTTTGCTTTAATGTCGCTCTCAATCGCCTCCCGGCCACTCCAGGTCCACTCCTCCATGCCCAGCCTTCTCTCTCTAACGCTCTGATTGCCGCTCTTAAAAGAGCTCAAGCTCACCAGAGACGCGGCTGCATCGAGCAGCAACAGCAACAGCCGCTTTTAACCATTAAAGTTGAGCTCGAACAGCTTATTATCTCCATCTTGGATGATCCGAGTGTTAGTCGGGTTATGAGAGAAGCTGGGTTTTCAAGCACTGCTGTTAAAAATAATATTGAGGATTCTTCTTCAGCTTCTGTTTTTCAGTGTTACACTGCTTCAGCTGGCGTTTTCTCTTCTCCTTCTACTCCTGAAACCAACAGAGATAATCACCTTCTTCATCATCATCATCATCATCATAATATTAATATAAACCCTAGCAATACTTTCTGGCAAACCCATTTCTTAACTTACTCATCTGACCAAAACCCATTTCTCTTTTCCTCTCAAAACACAGCCAGGCTACTCCCAGCAACCCACAACTTCACTGCAGATTCACCTTCTGTCAAAGAAGATATCAAGTTGGTTCTCCAAGTCTTGCTGAGGAAGAAAAAGAAAAACACTGTCATAGTCGCCGACTGCGTCTCCATAACCGAAGCTATCATAGCCGAGCTGGTGGGAAAACTCGAGAGAGGAGACGTCCCTGACGAGCTAAAACAAACCCATTTCATCAAGTTCGAGTTCGCGCCAGTGGCTTTGAAGTTCATGAAGAAAGAAGACGTGGAGAAGAAGATCACTGAGCTGAAAAGGCAAGTAGATTCTTTCACGTCTTCTAATGGCGGGGGTGCTATTTTATATACGGGAGACTTAAAATGGACAGTGAGTGACGAAACTAGTACTGCTACTACTTCTACAGCTGGTAATTATAACAACAATGGCGGATCAAGAGGACATATCTACAACCCAATGGATCATCTGGTCGTGGAGATCGGAAGGTTAATATCGGAATACAACTCTGTAAATTCAAAGGTGTGGTTCATGGCGACAGCATCTTATCAAACGTATACCAAGTGTCAAATGAGGCAACCTCCTCTTGAGATTCAATGGAATCTTCAAGCTGTTTCTGTTCCTTCTGGTGGACTGGGATTAAGCCTACATGGTTCCAGGTAAACAAATTTATCTTCTTCTTGTTCATCTAGCTTATTGATTTTGCTTTACGCATCATCATATTAGTAATTAAGACCCATCAATGGCTTCCGGACAAATCCATTAATGAAGCTGAAGTTATGCTTTTTATAACACCATTGTGTAATAAATCACATGCACAAAGAAAACCCATTAAAGTGTTAATAATATATGTATACATATATGTGTTTATATAGTTGGTTTTTGTGTGTGTGTGTGTGTGTGTGTGAAAAGAGGCCAAAGAAAACAGCACTGTGAAAAAGCTTACGGTAGGTGATGAGACAGAAGTGAGTCGTTTGTGTCCTTGAAATGTTTTTTAACTTTGTTTGTCAGGACATAGCAACTGCATGCTCCTGA